GACATGCTGTGTGGGGTTCCCCTCCAAGGAGAGTGACCTGAGAGGCCAGAGAGCTGGCTTTCTTCCATTCAGACTCTTATCAGATCCTTATTCCTCCCCGCCCCTCCCTCACCCACTGCAAACAGGGGAGCAGTCAGTGTGAGCCAAGAATTTGGCCAGCGGCTGCCTCTCCACAGCTGGCTGAAATTCAAAACATGTCCATTCTCAAACATGTCACAACACCTGTATTGTGTTTCAGGGCTTTAGGAGGTCTCGCCAAACTCCAAAATTCATTAAATAACTATTGAATGGGCAGCAATTCTAAAAACAAAAGTCTCAACTTCCAGGTTTACAAATTACTTAGTGTTTTTCACTATTTTGTTTTTGCTTTTGTAAATTTAGCTCTTTTATGCCATATATAGCTTCCTAGTGATTTCCTATCATTTCAAAGAAATTCAGGTTATAGTGAAGGGGAAGAAAGTGCAGGTGTGTGGGTTTTACTCTGTATTAGTCCAACGCTCTCACCTATGGCTTTTTAGCTCTTTGAAAGCTCCACCAAGACATAAAATCTTCACGTGCCAGAGAGTTCTTATTAACAGACATGGGAATGTCTAGAAGGCTCTAGTTGGTCATAAGGAGGTGGCAGGAGATTATTATCTATTAAATTGGCTTATGCATTTAAATGCATTGCAAACAGAGCTAAATTCAGGCTAGTACATTAACAGTTTGCTTTTATGTCAGGGGCATATCAAATCCTTTTTTGCCATTGTACTATTTCATAGAAGATTTGTTTTGTAATTGAATGAGTTGAAATATATTTATATCTCCTTCTGTTTAAAAATAGTGAAAAATTTTCACATTACTTGCTATTATTCATTAAAACGATGATGTAAACTTACAATTTACAATTACTGTGAAGATTTCCAAAGATAGATGTATAGATTTTTGCATATATCTTGGTCTTATTTCATCATTGTATCTTGGGTATAAAAGTTATTTTTAACAAATTTGCTCTTTATCATGAAATGAGAAATCTTTTCTTGGGTAGGAAAAGAATTCATCTTACCTTAATATAGCTCTATTTTCTCCTGTATCTAGACATCATCTGTAACATGATTTAAAATCATGCATCAGTAGATTCCTACAGTGGTAGGAATGAAATGGGGTCTTAGGATTTCAAGCTTCTAGAGTCTGTGAGCTTTGAAGCCCTTGCTGTTTTCTTTGCAGTGCTAGACTGAGTGCATACATTTTGAATGACTGATTGATTTCCCAACCACACTGCACTGCCATGGAAATGACAACATCACAGTTAAGAGTCTGGGGTCCTTTCCCCACATCCTCCTCCCTTCTGCTTATAATGCCCCTTCCATCATTTTTAATAATCTTTTCCATATTGCTGGGAAAGTTTTATAGAGCATAGCATGGTTTCTTCTTGTCCCACCTATGCTCAGAATGTAGAAATGAGAGAGGACACAAGTGGGCTTTGTTCCCCACTTTGTGTCTCGGGATGAGAAGTGATTCAAGGTGATTACATCTGCCCCGTAGGAATGGGTCTGGATTGTGCGAGGCTACAGCAGCCAGTTGCAGCCTCCAGACTATGACAGGTTATGCAGCCCAGAGCACAGACCCAGGAAACTTCTTGGACAGTGGCCCTGTTTAACTTTGTCTCTGATTATAGGGAAACTTTTAGCATGGCTGGAACCTTTGAGTAATGGGGATTATAGTGTCATCAACAGAGACACAATAAGGCAAAAATAAACCTTTAGAAGTGGACAGAAGAGTCTCATCCCATTCAAAATTTACATTGATCAGAATTTCATTTCCTCCTAAATTAAATCAGATTTTCAAAGGTTATGAACATTATACGAGATAATTCAGATACTTTAGGATTTATTTGCCAGAATTAGGGGGAATTTTGTTTTTTTTTCCTAAATAATGTCTGTCAAGTTAAAGATTCTCATTTTTTTTTAAAGTAATTGACCATGTCTTAGGGGATATTTTCACAGATGTTCCTGTTGGCTTTCTTGTTTAACAGAGGACAATAGAGAGCTATGTGGATAAACGCATGGGCACAACATATGGCCCTCCTGCAGGAAAGAAGATGACTGTTTTTATTGATGATGTGAATATGCCAATAATCAATGAGTGGGGAGATCAGGTATATTGATTCTATTGTGTATTTTATTTCTTTAATTCAGCATTGATTTATTCTTTGATGAGTAAATATTTTTCTACTTTTTCAAGATGCAATTCCTGAATTCCAGTGAAGTCTATTCTTTAAAACACTCAAGGAGTTAGGTTCTGGGGATATGAGGAATGATGTTTTAATTGTGAAAGTTGTCTTTCTTAGGTTACTAATGAGGTAGTAAGACAGCTGATGGAACAAAATGGATTCTACAACCTGGAGAAGCCCGGAGAGTTTACCAGCATTGTGGACATCCAGTTTTTGGCAGCCATGATCCATCCTGGGGGTGGGCGCAATGACATACCCCAAAGACTCAAGAGACAGTTCTCTGTATTTAACTGCACGTTGCCCTCTGATGCTTCCATGGACAAGATCTTTGGTAAAATGAGCGTCAATGGGGCATGGGGAGGGAAGAACACCTGCTTGTGTTCCTATGAGAAATCTCGCCCATGAGGTCAACACAGAAAAAGCATTGGGTAACGCCTTAGTCTACAGCCCCCATCACTTTCAAGTCAGATATTTCATTTCATATAGGGATTTTTTTCTAGATATGTATTAATTGGATGACTAGGTGGATCTTTTCTGCCTATGTTTTTCTTTAACTGTTGCCAGCTTATTAAACAGACAGCTTAAACGTTAAATGAACATGGAGATGAGATTGTTTTCACATAGATGAGATTGTTGCCTTATAGGTACATGTATTTGCAGTCTGAATTGCTATATACTGTGTCAAAAGTTTATGTAGCTGACACTTTAATCAACCCATGTAATGATTTTTGCCAAAGAAATAATGGTGCAAAGGGCAGAGATTAGCCATAGTCTGATCTTCAGAGTAATTTACAGGATGAAAATGAGCTTTGTTTGATTAAATATGTAGTATTTCGGAGATAATTTCACTGAAGAAGCACTAGCCCAATAAATAACCGTACTTAACCGAGTAATGAAAATTCACTTATGACTGATTTTGGAATTACTCTTTGCAGAGAAGAGTGTAAAGTTTTGAGCACGTTTGTGTTCAGTATTGGTTTACAATTTCTGAAACTGCTACTGAGAAAAAACTCATAAGGATTACACTAATTAATTTCTGGCAGACTAAAATGTTATCCGAGTGCCCCAGGTTAGTGGAGTATGGCAGTCATCTCTCTTCC